GTGGTCGCCCAGGGATTAAAGTTCTCATTGGGGATGTGACTTAGCCCGGATTACTTCAGCCACTCAAAACCCGGCCCATGAACCCACTTTGTCTAAATGTGTTCTCAGAATAGTTACAATTGCAGTTGCATTAACCCAACACAAACGCCTCTCATACGCTCCATTAAGGGATAATCGATTATTTAACAGTTCGATTCATCGTAGTCGGCATTCTGTCCAGTTCTGACGATCGATTGCCTCGAATAATCGAAATGATCCAACCGATTAATGCATTCTTGATCAAAACATTTACTATATAGTACCATATAAGTATAAAAAATGCAATTTAGCTTTTTTTTTTCTTTTTGACGGTTTGATTAATCTTGATCATTGTCTATGATTAATCGAGTTTCTTGGTTCATCGAGTGCTGAATTATCAGTAGCGTGGCGTGAATGATCGATTATCGATACTTCCCCATTTGAAGCTATGGTAAAGAATCGATTATTAAGGCGTTCGCTGCAAATACCCTGTTTATCGATCCTTTTCCGTGGGTTTCCATAGCAGATCAATCGATAAATCGCAAAGCACGCCACGCTACTATTGATTATTTGAGCATAAATTAATCATTTCACTAATTGTAATCTGTAGGTACCGATTAATCGATTATAAATCGATAATCGGAGCACCCTCAGCTCCGTTTAGCCATCGATTTTGCGGTTTCATTACCTCACTTAACTCTGAGGCAAATTGAAACTGCATCAATTTCACTTTTGAAGAGAATTTGATAAAACACCAAGCAGATAGTGACGATTGCAAGCAATAATTAAATTCCTCAGATTTATACAAACGGGCAATAGGCGATTAGACGCAGTCGACAGCATTTCTTCCTAATTTGACGTAGAAAATAATGTCCAGAATGGCTAATTCGAATATTACCGCATGAAGTACATATCATTGACCGATCCAATGAGCTTTTCTGAGAAACAAATAGCGCGCCTACTGGGTTGGACAGCCGAGAGTCCACAGTTTTCCGCTCGATTTAATGTAAATTAGTGGCGAGGCGTGAATGATCGACTATCGACAGATCCCCATTTGAAATTATGGTGAAGAATCGATTATTAAGGTGTTCGTTGCGAACATCCCCTATTCATCAATTTCTTTCCATGGGTTTAAATGACAGGTAAATCGATACATCGCAAAGCCCTCCACGCCACTGATGAAAGTATCTTCCAGCTAAATTACTATACAGCATATTTATTTTTTGCAAAAATATGTAGTTTTTCCAGCTGAATCTAGCTTCTGTTAGATTTTTTTGTAGAATCTTACTTGGTATCCAACCATTTTTATTTTTTAACCAACTTATTTTTTATAAACTTAAAACTCGGGCGGTGTGGCGATTCGCAAGCGCGTTCTCATCAAAATTCAAGATGAAATAAGTCGAGGAAGACTGCTGTTGCCATTACTTTGTAGCACTCTTTACGATCAACAAAAAGTTTCAGAACATTTACCTAATCCTGAATACAACGTGGTCACTCTCTCCTTCACTTAAGCGTTGCATAATGGTTGGATGCAACAATCCGAGTTACGCATTGAAGTGTTTATACGGTCAGTCGGTATGTCCTTGCTCTCGGATCTGGAGATTTAGAGGTTCAAGATAGTTCAACGCCACGCACTATGTAGAAATAAGTAACACGATAACATGAAATCTTATGGATAGAAAAAAAAACCTTTTTGAGCAAATATTTCAAATTTTACAAAATGCAACCATTAAATATTCACAATTTTCCCACTAAATTCGGTTTTTATCCAAGGAAACTTGGCAACGTCTGAAGGCTCATACGGCGTTCTTCCTTAACACGACAGTGTAGGTCAGGATTTTAGTGAGTGGGATTTTTGCAAGCGTACCGTCTCGAGCGTTCTGATATCTCGAGATCTTGGCGCACCATTCGCGTTGGCACTTTGGCGTTGCGGTGCCATGCGGCCGCAACTTAGCGCCGGCGCCCCGCGCCAGATCTCCCTCTCCTCCCTCCCGAGGCCGGAGTAATTTTGACACCACTCGAAATTAATTATTAACTAACACAGTGGCGGTTTATGAGCCGTTTTGTAATTTCACGTAGCTGAAATTAATGTAATCATGCGACTGATTAATCGTCGAGAGCTCTGCGCCGCTTGTGTACGGCCGTGTCCCCGACCTAGCTCCATCCCGACAGTTCACTGATTTTCTTGGCATTGCGTTTTCGGAGAAAGAATTGTTATTTAAGCATCGGTAGAAAGGAGGGTGTGTCTGAACGGTTGCGCATGTTAAGATGGTTAACTAGCTCCTACGTATTTTTTGACCAGACCGTCATCTGATTGGTCGGTTAATACATTTATTTGAAGGTGCCTTCCGGTAGTATCGCGATTAGCTCTGTATACTGCCGCGTCGTAACGTCGTATGAGCCTCCAGGCGTTGCTAAATTTCCTTTGATAAAACACGAATTACCTTGTAAACTTATGGATATTTTTCTTCCAATTTTTCATATAATATTGTTCTCAATTTCAACTAATATTCCTGAAAATTTTAAGGGAAAATATTTATAACTTTCCCCAAAAATGAACATTTTATCGAAGGAACTTTTTCTTCCGAAAGGCGAAAAATTCGAAAGCGTTCTTCCTTCTTCCTTAGCACGGCAGAGTAAGACGGAATATAGTGATGATATCAGACTGCCAGCTGGCGAAATGGAATACGTCACCTTACCTATTTTCCCTAATTTTCATAACTTTTTGCACTAATAAGAGCACGCAGCAACACCGACAAAACCACAATGATTTCTCGCCCACCTTGACATGAAGAATCTTTGATACGTATGATTAAGCAATCGCGAGGCATCTGCTTTGTGATCCTTCCTTTTCATCAAAAGAGAAAGTATTGACATTTCGATGGCGCAAGCTTCAACTGCCGGTTCTCTAATAGTGTGGCTAATGCATCGTCCTATGATGAACGAAGAAGTTCAAATTTTGACATTTGACGCAGGTTCAGGGATGGAAAAATGATGGTGAGCGGGAAGATTTTAACCTTGGTTAGTCCAACTTTTTCAGACGGTGTCTAATTTCCTCTCATGTTTCGTTCCTCTGTGAAAAAGCGAAGCAACATTCTAACTTGAAATTTTGTGAACATATTTTGTGTGAGTAATGAGAAATTTATATTGAATTTCAAGGTGTGGAGTTGTTACAACTTCTGTTAAAAAAAAGAAAAAAAAATCGGCATGACAGGAAATTTGGCAACGTGAAATGTAGGTAGGTTGAGTCTGATTATTAGATACATACAATTGCGATTTAAGGATATCAATACCGGGAATTAAAAATTCAAGCTGCATGTTAAGTCGGTAATCGCTTGACCTTATTTATAATAGGGGATAAAATAGAATCTTTGAAAAAAATCATAACTTAACGAAAATGAATCCAATCCGTATCATTAATTGGATGCAGTTAAAAAGAAGCATTTTATCTGCATTCGGAGAAAGTATGTACATTTGTCTAGGAATTGGAACTTGCACTAGATTAAAGAACGCGTTAAACATTTTCATCATCGCACATCAAACTCTCTGAAGTACGCTATCCATCCCTCAGCCTCTTCAATTTTTAAGTCTGATGAAGCTTCGGAAGATAAGAATTCAATGTAATTCGACTCTACCAGATGCTCAGTTTTAATTAATGGCAAAGGCAATAGAGATACGAGAGTGACAAAAGTTGGGTTACCTACAGTCACGAGGTATAATCTATGGAATAAGGTAAAGGTTGTAAAGAGTCGACGAGTAAAAAAAATAAGCGCATTTAACACATTGCTACCTAAGCCACTCGTTTTTCTAAACCAGCAAAACGCAATAAGAAACCGAGAGAAAAATCTCCGATCCTGACCCGATAATTGTTCAAGTCATGTCCGAAATTCTAGAGTATTGCACCAAGGGGGAATTCATTGTCTGGTCATTTACAGCCTTGGAACCTGGTCATTTGTGGGTGTCGGTAGCACCATTGATCATAATTCAAATGTATTTACACATAGGCCCAGTGATTGATGGATGTTCGGGACTTTGACTTCGAGTGTGACCTAGCTTCCCCTCGCTGCCATATCTTGCTAAAAGCTTTCAGATTATACTATGAATTTTACCGAGAGGAAGGATAATTTGCCTCTATGGTATCGAAATCGGAGCCAGGGTCCCGGTTTTTTTCAGTCCTTTTTTCGTCAGCATCCCTAACGATGCTACGTCACCACTGTCTTAATTTGTCTCTCAGAGGAACTTTTAACAGGCAACCTTCGGTATATTTTTTTCATCTCTTCTTGCTGTGTTGACGTCAAAGAACCGAGACTCATCACTAAAAGTGAAGTATTAATTAAGGACATCCAAACATTTCAATATTTGAGCAATCTAATACATTGGGATGAGAAAAACGCTAAGAAATGACCCGAATTCTATAAAACAAGGTGATAAAATAGTGCTATGGGTCCATACCATTTCGCGGGGAAAACAAAGTCGGAAAGTTCCAAAAATTTCATTTAGAGTAAAAAAATAATGATTCAAATTGAAATTGTCCGAACTTTTCGGCTATGTTTCCCCCGAAAAATGGCGTGGACTCAGCACCATTTCACCACCTTGTTATAAATTGGCATGTAGATGAAGCAGTAGGTAGACTATACGTGTTTCAACCAGTCAATATATAATTTCCGGAACTTGAAAACAAAAATTCAGGTGCTCCAACAGTAATTTTCAAATTAAAAGAGTTAAGAATGTATCAGCAAGTCCATGATGGTTTCGAAAAGAATTGAGATATTTTTAAAATTTTGAGAAAATGATAAATTTCATCACACAGATCGGTATATTTTGAACTGAATTCAATTTTACGATACTATTGTGATAGGGTGCTTTACAACAGTGGAGGTAAAATGTATATACTTATATCTTTTCTAACTATTTACTACTTTGCTTTCTGCATGCTGAATATGATCATGAAAATCTTCATTCGAATTTTTGTTTGATTTCAGTTGTAACCGGCTCAACCGACGGTATTGGACGGGCCTATGCCAAAGAATTAGCCAAGAGAGGCGTAAACATAGTTTTAATTAGCCGAAGCATCGAAAAACTTCTACAAGTTTCGCATGAAATAGGTAAGTTTCGCAAGAAATTTTCTGACGTTGGCTCTTTTGGCTTGTGTGAAGTGAGCGATTCCCATCAATTTAGATGTAAATTGACAAGGATACGGAACCATTTATTTTAAATTATATCTCAACAATTTTGAAGAAAATTTATAGAGAAAAAAATCATTACTTTGTGTAATGCCATAACTAAACTATAGCTATCACCTTGAAATGAAAGTAAATCACACTAATGTGATTGGAATTTTTTTACCCATTCAGAAAATGACATCACCCTAGTCAGAACCGTGGCTTCATATTCACTCACTCACCCGAATAAATACAAAAAAAGGGCTCGCAATTAAAATAAAATGAGATAAAATATGTGTAAAAAGAACAAGCGGCAAAATATCCTCGCCAAATTAAAAGAAAAAAACAGGGAGGGGGGGGGGATCCGAACGATTCAATTTATCTGCATGAAACGTAGCAAGCGTCAATCCTCCGAAACCTCATTTTCAGTGCTAATGAGGGATATTTGCGAGACCCTCTCACTTGTCATGGAAACACTGCGTAATGAAATGCCTCCTCCGTCTCCATGAAAGGGTCCCGCTCTTCGTTACTGTAGGACCCTTTTCGCCGTCACGTCGAATCTACGCTCTGCAGAGCCCAAAAAACCCCTCCTTACATTATTTCTTCTCCCTTGTTTCCCTCCATTCTCAACCTCATTGTCATTGAACTTGTGTCTCTGCAAATTAAACTAATTTCCAGTTCATTCAGCGACAACCGAAATTGTTTATTTCATTTTTTCTTTTTAATACGCTCAGGCATACTGCATTTTTATAGCGAGCGCCTCAGTCGTTGCTCAATGAGCCTAAGCGTATTCCATCCATTTTCTACCGGTGCATGCGATGAGTTCGCTAAGTTTCGCACCTCATTATTATTTGACACGTATTCTGCCTTCAAAACATTTTCCTTTGCAATTTCTGTGAAATTCGTTCGCAATTTAATCTTGCGTATCTGAAAATTTTAAAGAAAAATACTAATTATTTAACTGACCTCAGAAAATAAACGTCGAAAATAAATTTGGGAAAATTCTATGACATTTGAATGAATTCTTCCTCAATGTGGCAATATTTTGACGCATTCAGCTAAGGGAATCTATGTACGAATATATTAAATCAATAGGAATCAATAAATTAAATCAAAAGGAACGTAGGATTCCCTTGCTTTGTAATTCCCTTAGCTTACTTTATCGGCACAAATTTCCCTTTACAGCACAGATACGTTCTTTTATGTACTGTCAAACTGCAATTGAACAATTTTTCTCAATCAAACTGACGTCATGATTGGATATACCATTATTCTCCGCAGTGTTGAGGATAACATTTTCTGATCAAAGTGAGTGGTACGTTGGAGGAAGAACAAGAAAATCTGTTAGTCTAATAAAACGCGTTTATTAACATGGATCGTCGTATGCTCTTTTTCGTTTTTATACATTTTTCGACATATTTACCCTTTGTGTAGCCTTTTAACATAATACGCAAGTGTTTTGAGTTATTTCATGGATCTGAGAACTGGTTTAAAGCTTAGAGCGTAGCCTCGTTTACAAATCATTTCCAGTCTACTTACACAGTGCCTCCACTTATTATCGTGATCAGGCGGCACGCAGCCAACCAGCTAGTGTCACAATCAGAGGTCGTTCGGACTCTCGTGCTTTTGACCCTGAAAAAAGTAGAAAATGCGGGGACATTGTTATATCCGGTATTGCTGCTCGTGTGAGTTTAAGTAAGCGCCTTATTTTGATATGCACATTTTTACTCTACTTGGGCGCGCGTGGAGATCAGCTTGAGTATCTTTATAGAAAAAGTATGAACACGTTGATTTATGTAGCTCTTAAGGACCAAAAGGGCGACGACGTGTAAAATCAAAATCACTAGAAAAGTGCCGCTGCCAACCTGTGCATTTGAAATATTAATCGATATGGCCGACAGTGCATTGTAAACAAGCGTCTTTAAGGATTTAGACTTTGAAACTGAGACAATTTATGCAAAATCAAAGTTAATTACGTGCTTTTATAATTTGTGAATAGTATACCTAATCTCGTAGTTTACTTCACTGGGAAAAAAAAAAAAAAAACACATCGGATCTAGAGTCCAGACTCTTGAAAACATTGACAAGAAAAAATACTCTTGATTCAATCAGATTTAAGTTTGAATCAAAAGGAAATCCGCTCAAATTAAGAGGCTTGGTTCTTGATTTAAGCAAAAATTCGATTAAATCAAGAGTACTTTTTCTTGTCGATGTTATTAAGAGTCTGGACTCTAGATCCAATGTGTTTTTTTCCCAGTGTTGAGCGCGTTCCTTCCACACTGTCTAATTCGAGTTCATGGGTCGGCTGCTTCCTTCCTTCCTTCCTTTTTTTCTTTCCTTCCTCCCCTTTTTTCCTCCTATTCCTTTATCCCCATGCGAGTAGGATTGGATCCGCCGATGAATTTATACGTCAAAAATCTTGTCTGACGCTATTGCAATTAATTTCGTAAACTCGTATCTTTCGTCCGCATTCGTTGGGTACAGTGTATAATTAGTGGAGCGCATCATTGATTTTCCAAAAGACCTCTGGCTGAACACAGTGTATATTGAGTACACGCCTCGTGTTCATGAAATGAAGCGGGAGACTCCCGGGAGTATGTAAATCAAGAGGAAGAAGCCTGCTTTTGACATTTTTACTCGGCCAACAAAAGGTGCCGCCAATTGAGGTGTTAGGGTTTGGCCACGAGGTGGAAGTGCAGGAGTGCACGGGTAGGCTTCATGAATTATATTACTGCGCCCCCCCCCCGCCTTTGTTTGCCAAATCGCGTAAAAAAGCTCCCTGTGCTTTGAGTTGTTAACTTTATTACGCTTCATTATGACCTGGATGATTAAAAGAAACGAAAAAAGAAAACGAAAAAAAAGGAGAAATGTACTGAATTGAATCTTTCCGACGGTTTCAGTAGCAATGCAGTTCGTTTATAAAGCAGAACGAAGTAACATTTGAAAAAATCTCTCAGGGTGAGAAAATATTTGATTCGTTTATTGTAGGCATTAATTCATCACGGAAAAAAGTATCAGGGGTTAGTTCCTAAAATCGTGGTACTACACCGATTTGTTGGACGATACGGACATTTTCAATTAATTATGGCAGTACCGCAACTCATGTTGGGGTAGTATCGCAATATTTGGGTTAGTAACGTAATCTATTGGGGTACAATGCCTCAAGGGTTGTAGTTCGACAGAGGGCAGTGGAGGTTAGGTGTTGTAAATCGCCAAAGAGTGCTATAAAGCGACCTATATGCATGTACTTCCACAATAAATTGGAAATGTACAATTGTACATATCATCCAACCATATCATGCTCTTTTTTCCGTGTTTCAGTTTGGACATATTTTTGTCTCTCTTTCTTTCTTTTTTTTTAAAAAAAAAAAAAATAAATAAAAACATCGATCGAGCCATGAAGTATTGACCTCCAGGAAAACTTTTGGTTCTCATCTCCTTAACTCTATCCAATTGTATTTGTAACTAATCGGTTTTAATAGTTCTGTTGAAAAACATTTTCCAACTTTTCTTCTACTTTGGCGGAGGAAGAGCAGAGAAAAGGCTACTGCTGAAATCAAGAAAATTGAAAACCCGTTGAATTACCTTTGGAGAAAACGCTTTAATACAGTTTTGAAGGGGTTCATCTAAAAAATATTTATGTGACAAAATCAACCCTTTGATCCCCCGAAATTTTTCATTCGTGCTTTTGCATCCAAATAGTCTTGGAAATGCCTCAGACAAAACCACCTAGCACGAAAAACAAAACAAAAAAAACCCAGTAAAACCGGCAATAGATTCGCACACGGCTTCTAAATCATACGTGAATAAGCCTTCAAACGCGCCTGGCTTTCGCTCCATTGCTGAAATTAAAAATAAGAGAGGGAAAGCGAGGGAAAATGAGAATTGTGCGCAGAAAGCTGGAGCAGAGGTGGAGACTGGGGAGGGACTTTTGCGGCCTCGATTGGGACTGCGGTCTCTACAATAAATAATAGAATTTATGAACACAGAGACCCGTCGGCAGGGAGACGAACACTTGATAAAACCATCCATTCTCAATGCATTTGCCGTGTTTCGGAAGTGGGGTGGGGAAGGAAGGGGATTAATCTCTGACGGACTTGTTGAGTACGCGTAGTTTTAAACGCACTGCAAAAGAGCCTTTGATATGATGCATGGTCAGCGGGATCCAAAAAGTCATGGCTGCACTTGGTTCAAACTGTATCCAGGAATGATCGAGGACTTTTATGGTTCGATACTAATTGTGACACCTACGTGAGTTTTTCTGCTCATTCGTCCTATTTATATCATCTTAAACAGAGACCGTATATTTGGACTTAATTTTGCAAATAGGAACTATAATTTCTGGCTAGGTTTAGAAATAACGTATGTGCCATTATTTTACATACGCACATGAGTGTTTTTACTCATGAGCCAGAAATTGTAGTTCCTAATCGCAAAATGTTGTTCATTTTATATTAATCTAAACGGTGTAATCAGGTGAGGCAAAAGTTGAACTCGGAGGTCAACGCTATATTGTTACGATGAAGGGTTCATGAGCCACTTGTTGAGCAGAAAATTCTCCAGATGACGACTGATGAATTTTGGGTTGAGTTCTTTGCTAAGCGAATTTTTGCAACGAAGGATTTAGGCCCTCTACACCTTTTTGATAAAGCTGCTCAATTCGTGGGAAGTCAATCATCATCAAACGAATCTGAGCGTGACTCTCGAAATCAGGCAAATTTTTGCGAGTGTATTTGGTCGACTTATTTAACCAGATCGGCAGGGCTAACCAAAGAAGAAAAACGTTCCGCTAAAGTCAAGGCCTAAATTCAGTTAATTGCTTGATGAATTGTCAACGTTTGCATCCATTCACTTTTCGACCCACCTCCGGAGGTTCGTCGAAAATTTTAGACGTGGTCGTCATTGCTACCAGCATGAAAACCAGATGTCGTAGGCGCTAGGTG